CTATTCTATTCTATTCTATTCTATTCTATTCTCTATATTCTGTTCTGTTCTGTTCTGTTCTATTCCATTCCACTCCACTCCACTCCACTCCACTCCACTCTGTTCTATTCTCTCATGTAGTTATCACATGTGATCCCCATTGGTAAACTACCCAGCTGATTTCTAACAAGCAAAGTCAATGGGAGATGCCAGATTTGCTTAACGACTGCATTATTCCTTTAACAATTGCAACAATTCACTTAACTGCAGAAAGTCATAAAACGGGGCAAAACTCACTTAATCTTTAGCCCTTAGTCATCACTTAGCAATGGAAATGTTGGGTAGTCAGAAGTTGAGGGCTGCCTATAACCCTTCTAGAGACCTATGCAAGCAAGTTAAGTGGCTAACTATTATTAATTAATTAATTAAGAAGCCACCCATTTCATTCACAGAGTGACTCTCTGCCCAAAGATCTTAGAGAGGCATTAAGTCCAAGGCTCGTTCCCACCAGTACACATTTCTGGTGCATGCTCCCAGAGAGGTCTAGAAAGGATCAGCCTTGACCAGATGGGTAAATCACCTAAAATGGTTCAAAGGAGCCCATAATTCACAGCCTTGGAAAGCACTGACTTGATGTGCAACGAAAGCATGCTCAGACATATGTTTGAATGAAGTCCAAGGGTGTGGTTGTCGCTGTCTTGTTTCAACACTGTCGATGCACGGAGACTGATTGGGATGGGTTCTTCTTATTTGGGGCAAACTACTACATAGAAACAGGGTGTGAACTTCACACTCCTAGCACTGATGAAGTTATCTAGTCAGGTAATGAAATGTCTGCAAGCAAACCACAAAGCTCAGAAAGCACCAGAGTTCTTATTGTGTCCGGGGCAGAGCAGATATGTCGGCATGAATCCCTCCAAATGATTTGGGGTGCTGTAGCCAGTTCTAAAGTGAAAATAATCCTTTTCTTCCTGGGATAATGTGTTCATGTTCATCATACTCCTTTATAATATGAGCCGTGGTGGCGCAGTGGTTAGAATGCAGTACTGCAGGCTACTTCTGCTGACTGCCAGCTGCTTGCCGTTTGGCAGGTTGAGTCTCACCGGCTCCAAGTTGACTCAGCCTTCCATCCTTATGAGGTCAGTAAAATGAGAACCCCCAATGGTTGTGGGGCAATATGCTAATTCTGTAAACTGCTTAGAGAGGATTGTAAAGCACTACGAAGCAGAATATAAATCTTAAGTGCTAAGTTCTATTGATAATTGGATAAGAAAAACTCATGTTAGATCCCCGGCTTTGAACAACATTTCAGTAAATTTAACAGGTTAACCCAACTGGGTCTAGGACAACCCACTGTGGCCAACTCAACACAGGACAACTCGCCACCGCCAACTTGCTGCAGACCAACTTGCCATGGGTCAACTCCCTGCAAGACAAGAATTACACTAATATCAAAGAAAGGTTGGAATAGGCTCATTCAAGAAAGGATGCAAAAGGAGGGACAAAAGGAAATGCAAATGACAACAGTTAAAATAATTGTTTATTTTAAATAATTAAGTTGAATTATTGAATTGTCCTGCAGTGAATCCACCCCATGACAAGTTATCCTACAGCGAGTTGGCCATGGTTAGTTCACCATGACAAGTTGTGCCCTAGAAACTATGGCAAGTTGGTTACAGTGAGTCCACCATGTCAGGTTGGCCATGGCGAGTTCACCATGACAAGTTGTGCCCTAGAAATTATGGCAAGCTGGTTACAGTGAGTCCACCATGTCAAGTTGGCCATGGCGAGTTCACCATGATAAGTTGGCTGTGGAGAATTGTCCCATTCCATACCCAACTTCATTCTAAATTTTAAAGCAATGACTGGCAAGATGAATGTTAAGCAGACAAACCAAGAGGCTCGGGTGGCACTTGAAAAGATGCCACCCAGAGAGTTTGCTTGTTCTTCTTGGATGCCCTTTGCTAGTTGAGCCTTCTCCTCCTAAAACGTTCAGATGGCTGGATGAATGAATTGCATGGGATGCTGTTTAACAATTTGCAGTGCGACATGATCATTGAAAAGAACAGAACATTTTGCATTTTTTTTAACCCACAAGGGGACTAGCCGGTTTATTCTTTTTGCATGTGCTTTCCCCTAGACTCTGGCTGCCCTAACAAGAAATTCAATAAATCTGCTTCCAAACCATCTTGCACAAGCTTTGCATGTCCAGTCTGGGCCTGAGGAAATTAACAAGCGAATAGAACACACCATCGACTTGCGGAGTGGCGATAAGTTGCGAAGAGAGCATATCAAGCCTTTTTCCCTGATGTTTAAAGACTCTGGCCTGGAACATAAGGTAGCTGGGTCTTGATAGATTGACTTTTGCCAACTCAGATTGACTTACAGTGACCGTTGAGTAGAAAAGACCAAATGGTGGTGGGTTTCCCTTCTGAATTTCCCCTTCCCTTTCTTCCCATCCCTCAAAAATGGAGCTGTTAAGATTCCTTCGGCTACAAAGGGTGGAGATCCTGAGATCTGGGGTGTGTGGGAAGCTCCTGAAAGCTTAATGAAAGCTGAAAGCTCCCACCACAAGTGGCCCCCAGACATCTTGGATGGGATCAGAGAAGAAAAACTGAAATATATGGAGAGTGTGGTAGTTACCATATTTAAAAATTACAGTTTAGTTAAATTAGATGTAGGGTTTTCCTTCTTTTCCCCAGGGACAACTGTCTTTCTTTGTCATCAGCAAATGACCTCCAGAGACTAACTGTGACCCCGGGAAAAGTTGCACATGCTAAGCTAGGTCAGATAAAGAGTTAAGAGATGCCTTTGCACAACAGGCTAAACTTAGAGCGATAGGTGGAGGTGGAGGAGCGGGTGAGCGTGGGGGTGGAAATGGAGATGGAGGTAGAGGTGAAGGTGAAGATGGAGACAGAGATGGAGGAAGGAGTGGAGGTGGAAATGGAGGTAGAGGTGGAGATGATGATGCAGATGAAGATGGAGGTGGTGGTGGAGATGGTGGTGGAGATGGAAATGGAGGTGGAGGTAGCAGTGGAGATAGAGGTTGAGATAGAGATGAAAATGTGGGTGGAGGTGGAAGTAGAAGTGGAGATGGAGGTAGAAAGAGAGAAAAAGAGAGAGAGAGAGAGACAGAGAGACAGAGAAATGAAGAGAGAGATAAAGAAGGTGATAGACCTTTTGTGCAACATGTTTGGTTACTTATAATCTATGGTGTGAACCCTCCAAATATACAGATAATCTTTGATTTACAACCATTCATTCAGTGACCATTTGACATTACTGCAGCACTGAAAAAAGTGACTTAACAACTGCCCCTTAACAACTTAACAACTTAACTGTTGCAGCATTTTCCTAGTCATGTGATCCGAATTCGGGTGCTTGACAACTGTCATGTATTTATGACAGTCGCAACATCCCAGGGTCATGTGATTGCCATTGGCAACTTTCTCAGCCATCTTCTGGCAAGCGAAATCAGCGGCATAAACTAGATTTGCTAACTACTGCATGATTCGTGTAAGAACAGCAGTGATTCGCATAACAACTATGGGGAGAAAGGTGGTAAGATTGGATGCAGCTCACTTGTTATTGTGGAGCAAGGAACCCAGGAGACAGACCATGGGTAAGTGAAAGGGTGGGAGCTTCAGGGAAGCAAAGGTACCCCAGATGAGACCATGTAAACATCTGACATACTTGCATTGTTCTTGCTTCTCCTTGCCATTATTACAATTTCTGTGACTTCATTTGGATAACCAATCACACATCCAAGTTTACGGTTGCCTCATTTCTTCTTTACTTCTTAGTCTCAGTTGAAGTATCCTTGCTTCCCTGAAGCTCCCTTCTTTTCATTTAGCCAAGATCTCTTCCCAGGGTTCAAAATAACAGAAAAACTGAGTTGGAAGGGACCTTGAAGATCTTCTAGTCCAACCCTCTGCTCAAGCAGGAGACCCTACAACCATCCTGGACAAATAACTGTCCAATCACATCCTAGAAACCTCCAGGGATGGTGCCATCCACAACTTCTGAAGGCAACACGTTCCACCATTAATTGTTCCACTGTCAAGAAATTTCTTCTTCGTTTTAGGTTGGATCTCATTTTGATTAGTTTCCATCCCTTTTTCTACAATTTCCCTTGTCATGAGATCAGATACTTGAATGACAAAGAATTGGTTGGTCTGAAAATAAGTCACTGAAGGATAAAATGAACAGGAGCATTAGGTTGGGTGCACATTGCATGCTAGTCTAGACTAAGAAGATATGAAGATGTAATGGAATTTATTTTGTTGGGCATAGCATGTGGTGTGATGTATGTTTTGTTGACTAGGGCATAAGGTTTAGCACATTTTGTAAACCTAACTGCAAAGTGATGGATAAGAGAACAGCAGAGTAGTTAACACTTACACAGATCTTACATAATGATATAAATTATATATAGAGGGAATATGAATAGTAAGAAACCAGCAAACCAAAGTTATGGGGTGAAACATTTCATATATCTTTAAAATGGGATATGTCACCTGGGGCTTGGGGTCACTTTAGCCCTTCCCCCAACACTTATTCTAAGCACCTAAGAATATGCTGCTAAAATACAATACTGAGTGGTCCATTTTCTATTACTTTCTTTTTCTTTTTCCAAAAATAAGGATAAAATGGGAGGAAGTTGCCTTTTTCTGATTCTTTTTGCTATGGAATAAAATTAAATAACTAATTAAATTTTCTAATTATTGTTCAAATCAATTATACTCCTGGTGGTTGGCTTTATCCGACTTGTTATTAAAATTGTTGAGATCTTAAATCCACTTAGGTCAGAGGAAGTATTCCATTAAAAGGTCTTTGTTGGAATATATTACTTTCAGACACAATTGCACCCTTTTTATTAACAATGATACAGATTTTCTTTTAAGGTCTGTATCCTTGAGAAATGTGATCACTGATCACCTCTGTTGAGATGGAGGGAAAAGAGACAGGTGTTGTATGAATGTCCCTTCTTAGGTGATCAAACATGAGTTGAGCTCAGGAAAGAGGCTAGAATTTACTTAAAGGAATTAAATTTTGTTTTAAATTTTGAAAACACTCAGCTTGGTATTTTTAGATGACTTTAATTACATGTTCCACTATTGGATTCCATCAATCCCTAGTTTGGTCAAGGCCAGGGAAGATCAAACCTAAGCTAACCAATTTCCAAAAATAAAAAAGACCTTTCCCATTGGGTGTTGAATTGTTCTTCATCCATCCTTGAGTTGGTTAAAAAATAAACCAGTTCTGGTCTAAGTTTTGAGTTTTTTGTTTTTTTGGAAAAATTTTATTTAGGTTTTCACAAAACATAATGCAAATAAAATATCTTTTTTTGAGAATAGCATGGTCCCGGGTTATCACTTCTCCATACAAACACAAACTCAATTTCATATTCATCTTTGTGTTCTGTTCCGTATCTTATTACTATTTTAACATTTTCTCAATAATTTTTCCCTTCCCTTAGTTTTCTCAACCTTGCTTTTAATTATGTCATTCCTTTCTAAATTCAATTATGTATATCTTTTTCTAAGTTTCAATATCTTTTTGTCTAGGTTTTGAGTTTTGAGTTGGTGAAATTTACTGTCCCTATTACTCTACTCATTTCTATCCTGCCTCTCTTGTTCTTCACTAATCACTGAATACCTCGGCTGTTCTTCATCTGTTGGATGCCAAAGCCTAACAGATTTGACCTTTTGGTTGACCTTGGATGACCTTGATGTAAGGAGGGGAAGGAGGAGGAGCTAAAATAACGACCAATATAGCTAAGGCTGAGTAAGCCTATCTAATTCATGACTTGAGATGAAAGTAGTATCATCTGGAAGACATGGCAAAAAAATATTGCTCCAAGGAAGCATTTGTAATCCTGGTTGAGGGCAGGGTGAGAAGGCACTCAAAGCTCTTCTTAGATTTTAACAGAATTGGAAGGGGCCTTGGAGGTCTTCTAGTCCAACCCTCTCAGTCAGGAAACCCTATACCCATGCTGGCGAACCTATAGCACGCATGCTGGAAGTGGCGCGCAGAGCCATTACTGCCGGCCGCGAGCACTCACCCAGAAAACATGTACTGCGATGCGTGCCAGCTGGTTGTTGGGTATCTGGCGCGCATGTGTGGGGACGCGGCGGCACATAGGAGACACTCACACATGTGCAGAAGCATGCAGCGTGCAACTCACGTCGCACACACATGCGCAGAAGCACGCAGTGTGGGTCACACGAGTCTCCCGAGTTGCGCGGGTTGCTCACACATGTACAGGAGGCATGGGGGCACTGCACGCATTGCCTTCTGGATGATGCACGCGAGCATGAGCAGATAAGCGCACACGCAATTATTAGCACGAGAGCCCAAAAAGATTAGCCACCACTGCCCTATACCATTTCAGACCAGGTGGCTGTCCAGTCTCTTCTTAAAAGCCTCCAGTGATGGAGACCCCAGAACTATGGAAGGCAAGCCGTTATACTGATTAATTGTAATTTCTCCTGAATTTTTAGAGTTGCTTCTCTCCTTCATTAGTTTCCATTGTTTCTTGTCTTGCCTTCTGGTTCTTTGGAAGATAGGTTGAAACAACCCCTTTCTTTGTGGCGGCCCCTCAAATCAGAGATGGTATTCAGCAGGTTCTGACCAGTTCTGGAGAACTGGTAGTGGAAATTTTGAGTAGTTCGGAGAACCGGCAAATACCACCTCTGACTGGCCCCGCCTCCATCTATTCTCTCTCCTGAGTCCCAACTGATCAGCTAGGACTTCTTCTGTTGCCCTGCACAGGAGAACGGAGCTGGAAAGCAGGTTAGTGGAGTGGGGAGGGAATGGGGATTTTGCAGTATCCTTCCCCTGCCATGCCCACCAAGCCACACTACACCCACCAAGCCACGCCCACAGAACTGGTCATAAATATATTTGAATCCCACCACTGCCTCAAATATTGGAAGTCAGCTATCATGTTTTCCCCCAGTCCTCCTTTTCACCGGACTAGACATACCCAATTCCTGCAACCGTTCTTCATATGTTTTAGCTTCCAGCTCTATGATCATCTTCTCTGGGAAGCTTCTCCAGATCCCATGAAGACGTGCGATCAACATGCCAAGACACTGAGTTATAGAACAGAACCCGCTCTTGGTTGGAAGATATAGGACGAATTCATGCCACCAGACCTTTCTTGCCATTATCATCTTACCCTTTGCTTCACCTTTCCTTCCTGAAATGCACATCAACCCAAGAAGGAGAAAAAAAAACATTAGTAGGGCCCAATCTCCTTCTGATCGGCTAGAGCAGAAGTCTCAAAACTTGGCAACTTTAAGACTTATAGACTTCAACTCCCAGAATTCCTCAGCCAGCTCCCCATCTATTATCTACTTCCTGAGTCCCAGCTGATCGGCTGGGTCTTCTTTGGTTGCCCTGCACAGGAGAACGGAGCTGGAAAGCAGGTTAGTGGGGTGGGGGAGGGAATGGGGACTTTGGCAGTATCCTTTCCCTGCCATTCCCATCCAAGCCATGCCATGCCATGCCATGCCACGCCCACCAAACCACACCACGCCCACCAAACCACACCATGCCCACCAAACCACACCCACAGAACCGGTAGTAAAAAAAAAAAATTTGAATCCCACCACTGTGCCTCTGGTTTTAATTCAAGTGATTCCTGCTCCCTGCTTCCCTGCAGCAGATCTATCTGATTTAAAGCTTTCAAAAGGGATGGGTAATTTATCCTACCCAGATCTTCCATCTGCCTCTTCCGGCCGAGAACCTGTTATTTCCAGGTGCTTCCAGCATCCTCTTTTGAAAGCCCCTTCCGGCATCTCGAGGCTATCTTGATGACAGCCGAGCACTCTCCAAGGACACCCAAAACCACTTAAACCCCCGTCAATTTGTAAAGTACTGAAAACAGAGAAGGATCAGCCATCTCGATGTGTCATCTCTTGATGATGGTCATCCTTTTCAGGGAACAGCAAATGACTTCACAGCTACAAACATGTCAGCTCATCTGATTTCTCCCACCTCACTTTTTTTTTTTGAAGGTAAAAAGTATCAGCTAAAAGGCTGAAGAGGGGGGTGAATGTTCCGTCACAACAGCTCTCCGGGAGGCTTATTTTTAGATCAAAGCAAAATTTGCTCAGCAGAGGAAAAAGATGGAGTTTTGATAGCGTTGTAATCTTCACTGCATGTACTCGTCTCGTTCAGGGTTCGGTGTGTGGAAGTGGCCTCAGTCCATCCTGATTTTCACACATTCTCACCTGCCCTTTAGCCCTTCTCTCTCTTTCTCTCCCTCCCTCCCTCTCTCTCTCTCTTGGAAAAGTTAAATATATAGAAGTGTTTTGAATATGGAGATCAGTTCATTCTCCTTGTGCATTTCACAAACTTCCCTTGTTCTGTTCTGTCTGCCTATGTTTCTCTATCATCTATTAAGCTATCTATATCTATCCCTCCATCCCTCCATCTCTCTATCCGTTTATCATCTAACCATCTTTTGTCATCCATCCCTTCATCCATCCACCATCTATCCATCTATCCATCATGATTTCTCTCTATCAACCCATCCATCATCCTTCTACCTCTTTCACCATCTGTCTGTTTGTCTGTTTATCTCTAACTACATAGCTATCTACCTACATGTCTGTCAACCTATGTATTATCTATTATTAATCTATCTATCAATTTTATTTGTCTGTCTGTATCTATATCTATCCATCTGTCTGTCTGTCTGTCTATCTATCTATCTATCTATCTATCTATCTATCTATCTATCTATCTATCTATCTAT